TTTCTGGGTGGGTACTATCATTATGTTTAAGGTTCTAATTCCAGTCAAAGAGCTATCATTCTCATGAACACGTTCGTGCAATTGGGGGTACATTTTTCTTCTGTTTTGTATCGCATCAACAATTACATTCGCTGTTTGCTGCCTTGCCTTATCCAGTGAGACCCACGACCCCCACTTGGTATGGAATTCATTATGCTGGTTTACCTTAACTGCGTACTTACCAAAGTGCAATAGTTCTTCCATGCAAAGTATTTCAAGGTTATGAACCAGCAGCATGTCACATGCTTTCGGAGGTGTATTCAGCGTTACCCATCTTCATTAGTTTACAGGTGTCTATGATTTAATCTTATTTCTGTTTGACTGAAGAATTGGGACATGAAGCATATATGGTGGCAACAGTTATCCATAAATGTCCTTATTTGATAAGGTCATTTGCTCGTATTGAGTAAGGGAACCAAAGTGCTTGGACTGTCGATTTCCCTACACTGATCTAGAGATATGTTTGAGTGTTTAATTTCCTGTGATATTTTCTCTCGAGTTTAACCTGTGGTTGAATTTTAGTATATTGGCATATCAAAATTCTATTATTTTCTGGCTTTATCCAGGAGGAGAGAGACAAGAAACGCAAAAACAATGACGAAGAGAGAAGGTTGATTGATTTTATCTATGTAGCTATGGCATCTTTTTTTCCCTACTATAGTTGTTTAGGATTGAAACTTTTATTCTGATTTAGGTCGATTGAGCGGAGAAGTAGCGAGCGTGGCAGGGAATCAAGAGATGGTGAAAGAGGAGATAGCCGTGAACGTGGAAGTGATCGTAGGAGGAGTGATCGTGATCGTGATCGTGATCGTGATCGGCATTATGACCGTGAGCGAGAGAGAGATCACCGTTCTCGCAGCTATGATTCGAGGAGATCCCGCTCCCGCTCCCGCTCCAGAGATTATGATCGCCTCAGGTGTGTACCTAGTTCTGTCAATTCTGCTGCCTCACCTTATTATGATGCTAAACTAAATTTTTTATGTAGACTGTGAACCATCTTTAAGTAAAAACACTGTCATTTAATGATTTTGTTAAATATGAAGCATTTAGGGTGTGATTGGAAATGGATTTGATCCCAAAAAAAAACAACCATTTTTAACCCAATCACTTTTTCTAACTCAACTTTAACTCAACCACACTATCCTCAATATTATCACTATAATTAAATAATACAAATCAATTATTCTTACAAATCACACCAACTTTAATTTAACATTCATCCGTCCACATAATTTTAACTAACCACCACTTAACATCATCTCTCTCCTACTTTTACATCAAATCAACTTTGATTATTTTATTTTAAATTTTATCTTAATCTCATTAACTTCTAACCATACCGCATTTTTTCAAATTAACTATGGTTAACTTAGGCGACTCAAGGCTAGAGCCAATGGTTGAAGCATGCTTTTTTTCTTTCTTTTCGATTTGTCTTGTGATCTTTTTTATTAAATCTGCATGAAATGGAAGCAGCCCGTGTTGCTTTAGTTTCATAGACGTCCATTACTCTTTCTTGCTCTCATTCTCTATTTATTTTTAGAACAAGTAATTTTTGTCTGTTTATGATAATGGTTAATCAGTTTTTGTAGAATGGCTGTGGGGCCTGTAATTAGCTATTGTCCACCTGTGTACCTTGTGTATGATGTATATGTTCCTTACTGATCGTAATATGGGGGTCCCAGTTGCATCTTTCTTTAATCACTGTTTTAATAATAGTTAGCTTTACTCATAAAAGATGGTAATCTTGCAAAGTCACCAAGCTTTGATTGTTGTCTAATATTTTCTTTATTCTCCCCACTCCCTAATTTTGGCAGGCGTTGTGATCGTTATTAGTGGTTACCCGAACTGCGTCATCTTGGGAAGAATCTGAGTTTTTGTAACTTATATTACAGACTTTGTGTTGGCTGTAGGAAATTATGTTTTAAAGGAATGTGGAGTTTTACATAATGTTCGGTTTGGTAGTGTGCTCGGATGTTGTTTTCTCTATGAGATTGATTGATAAAAGCTTCATGCGATGTTAATGTATGAGCTTCACCATTTTTTTTAATGCTCGTGTAAACCACGGAAATCAGGTTGCTCAAAATTGTTCGACCTCTGGAGGTAAGGTAAGTGGCAAATGGAAAAATTTACCGTGGGAACAGTGTATATTGTTAAACTCTACGTATAATGGTATTATGGTATTTTGTTTTTTAGCGGCAAAATGTTTTTGACATCTAAGTGTAAATCTATTATAGTATGATTGGTATAATGGAATGGAATGAATTGAAGAATGGAATGATTATGAGAATGGAATAAAACAAGTTTTGTCATTGATGCGTTTGGTATGTAAAATGAATATGATTTGAATGGAATGATATTATCATTTTTTATTATATAAATAAATAAAATATATTTTTTAAAAAATAATATATTTTTAATAAATTATATATAAATGTTTTTTAATAATATACTCTATGATATATAAAAATAAAATTATATATTTTTTAATAATAGAAAATAATATATTTTTAATAATATATAAAATTAAAATAACATATTTTTAAATTATATGTAAAAAATAATATATTATTAAAAGTAATATTCTTTTAATATCTAAAAAATAATATATTTTTAATAATATATAAAAATAAAATAATATATTTTTAAATTATATATAAATGCTTTTTTTAGTTTTATTTTTTTATAAGTATTTAATATATCTAATTAAAAATAAATAAAAGTAAGTTTTCAATTTTTTTATTTGAATTTTATTTTTAAAAATAATTTTATTTAATATATTTTAATCACGATTTATAATATATATTATATATTTATTTTTTCTTATTATTTGTTAATTTTATTTTTTGAAAAATTAATTCTTACACACATGGGAATGATAAAACCTTCAATTTACTATGGAATGGCTAATCCCATGGAGATGGGTTTTGCCATTCCCATTGGAATGATCATTCCTTCCAAAAAATTATATCAATCATGGGATAAGGAATGAGTAAGGGAATGATCATTCCATTCTCAAGTCATTCCTTACTACCAATCATGGCATTAGGGGTACTTTGATATGCTTTATACAATTTAATAACACGGGTGATGAAATTTTAGTATGACTTCAATTGAAATAGTTTGTTTAAGTTTAGACCTTTCTCATGCAGGATTTTTTAAAGTTTAATTTAAAATTTATTAATTATCAATTTTATATACTATGGTATATTAAATTAATGATCTTTAATTAACCATTATTTTGATATTATTTGATTTTATATTTAAATTGTATATATAAAAAATAATATGAATTCAAAAAATATTTAAAAAATAATTTATATATGTTTGATTTTAGTATTATTATTATTATTATTATTATTATTAATTCAAGACTACTACTTATGAATGTATTAATTTAATATATGTTGGATTGAAATACTTGTTAAGTCTATCTCTATGTTCTATCATATATGAATATTACAAATATAAGAAAATATTTAAATGTAATAATACTTGTTATTAAATTAGTAAATATGCAAAAAATGAATCATTATATAACTTTTATTGTTATCGCTCGCTCATGAATTTATATCTAATATTATATCCATATTATTGTTTGATTTTCATAACTTATTATTTCAATTGTTCTACTGTTTAAACGAACGATTGTCAAAATCCGGTCACTTACCCACCGAATTGGTCGCCAACAAAGCGAACTGATCCATAAAGCGCAGCTTCAACTTACAGCAGAGATGACCAGTTTTCAGATACAATCATCACTCATATACCTAAACTTCTAACAGGGTGATGCAATAAGAAGAAACACCAAATGAACGAACTTGAAAAGCATTGTCCCTTGTAGGAACATAGAGTAGAAAGAAATTCACATGCCAACCAAAGGAAAGCATGCTAAGTGTAGAATAGATCCAAGAGAAAACAAATTACAACTGGCTCATATATGGTTCGATTACTAACAATAAATTAAACGAATCCTGCATCTCGACTATCATATAGCAAACATACCCCTTCCCGTACGCTTCCTTTCAACGGCATCTACTCTACGGTTGAATCACAAAAAGAGGCTGTGCACAGAGAGAGAGAGAGAGAGAGAGAGAGAGAGATTGTGTGAGGACAACAAGAAAGGATGAGAGGAATTTGTGACTTAATAATTACTGAGGTTGGACAGGAAACTTACGGTTCCGACACTGACTGGCTTCGCATCATCTACTAGGATCTCAACCAATGTACCAGACTGATCAGCCTGCATTTGTAAGTTTTATTTCCTCAACAGTCAGGAATAACCAGATTATGCACTAACCAATGTATTACTGAATAGATCATAGATAAAATGGTGTGCTTACTTCAATCTCATTCATCAATTTCATGGCCTCAACGATGCATAGAACTTGACCCTTCGTTACTTGATCCCCAACCTGCAGTATATGTAATAAATGAGAGAGAGAGAGAGAGAGAGAGAGAGAGAGATAGTTGGAGTTGGATGGTTGTGCTACTTTAATTCATTCATTAGATCATCTGTATATCTAAGCTCCCTTTCAAGATCACAAATATCCCCTTCATATTTGTTTCTAATTTTTAGAAATTGCAGACCTCAATAGGTTGAGAAATGCAAATCGACATGGGTCTCTACTATAGTATAAGGGGGCCACTTGTAATTTCGGAGTATAATTGGGTTTTTCTCGTATAAGATATAACGTCAAGGTTGTTTTCATAATTATTCCCAAAAGTGGAATGATGTCTTCAGATGAAATCAGTTCCGAAAATTTGTGTTAAGAAAATCGAAAACACTATCTATAATATAGAATTAAAACAAATGCAGTCAAGGCACAATAGAACAAGACACTCAGTCATTACCTTGACATATGGTGGTTCACCTGGTGCTGGACTGCGGTAGAGGGTTCCTGCCATGGGGCACTTAAAAGGTGGAAGAGATGACTTGGCTGCGGGCAGAGCAAGTGCCGGCTTTGGTGGAGGAGAAGGTTCTGCAGTTGGAACGGGAGACACTGAAGGGACTGGAGGCGTAATTGCAGGTTGAGGCTGAGACAGAGGCTGAGGCAGTGTCTGGATGTACTGAACAGGTGGTTGTGGTAAGGCCTCCTTTTTACGTATTAAAATTTCACAATCCACTTGTTTCAGTTGCAGTTCCACAATGTCCTTGGAATCAACCAGTCTGCATTATGGGAAATGATATCATCTCATTTATGATTTAAAATGGGGAAAGAAGTACTTTTTTTTCCAAGGGGAAAGAGGTACTCATTCATGGATAATTGCAAAGACTGCCCATGAGGTTTGACTTAATAGTAGGAAAAGCCCAATTATCCAGCACGTCAACAACTACCCCCTAACCTACTTTAGATTCACACTTTTAACTAATGCAATTGATATTGTAGGGAGAAAGTTTGCAACTTAGGAATAGATATAACAGTGTGTAATTTTCAAAGATATTTGAGTTTCTCGGAATTTGACTAGAAACCTCAAATGTTTTTGGAATCAACCCTAGGAATATGTTAGAATGCATACTTGACAAGACTCGCAACTTGATCAATAAATTCAGAGATTGATTCTTCTGATCTCAAAGAAGCAGGTGGCTCATTTGGCAGCTTGATGTCCTTAGATTCGTCCAGTGATCCCTCTGGTTTCACAGCAGTTTTTGCCGAACCATCCGTAGCGGCCTTTAATGCAACAGACAGCTTCAATAAAGTTTCAATAAAGGAAAGAAAATTTAAAAATAGTTCTTTACTTGAATCCACTGCGAAAAATGTACCTCATTCATTTGAGCTCTTACCACATGAGAACAATTCCAGCCAGACCGCACGCTCTACAACATGAGAATCCACATCACTGTTATGAGTCCATTGATGTCAATGAAGCAAAACACAGCTATCAATAGTAAATTCTCTAGGTAAAAGAATCCAAAATCATAGATTCGCTATGTGTCTTGAGTTTTGACATTAATGTGCCTAGATCATAATGAGGTAACCATTTCATATTCCTTTCCTATATATATTTATTTATTATAAGGTTCTAACTTCCTAATAGAAATTATATATATACTTTGAATGAACTCCCGAAGTCCAGTAACAAAAGAGGTCTTCAGTATTTCCATTGTATCTAGAATGTTTGATGACAAGGGATAACAAATTACAGAGTGTCGTGATGCTGGGAGTCAACAAGTCTCACAAATTCACTTCCCACGTAACTTTATACCACTTCAAGTAATTTGTAGATCAGTACTATAAGGACTCATTATTCTCCAGCTGAAACATCAGGTTCTGAACTAGCCAGATTCTAGATTTGGTAAAGACAATATATCTATCAAATGAAAAGTAATAAAAATAATAATAATAATAATAATTAAAAAGTGGAAGAACAACGCATGGCATGGGTGTGAAAGCTTAATCGAGAAAGAATTAAAGTTTCCGGCCAATTATGTTTTACCATGAGCCTCAGATACTATAACATTAGAGCACACTTCATTTTATCGACATTAAGGTAAAATGCTGCAGGCACCTAAAGCTATTCTCAGCTCACAGGAGTTCCAACAAACTTGGAAATAAAAAAATGACTCCTCATTCTCGCTTTGAGGCGTGCATTTCCTAAGGTGTTTAAGGGACATGAAGTGACGATGATTTGAATTCGGGAAGCTCCGCTATGCATCCAAATCAAATACTTTTGAAGGCACACTTTCTACATATATCTACACAGGCATCTAATAAACACGGATGCTGAGATCCATCTAACACATCTTCCCACCGACCAAACCCCAGGCTAACATGAACAGTGAATAAGATAAGAGCTATGGCATCAATATAATGAGAAGAAAACAGGACAGCAAGTATTCATTCATTCAGTCAGTCAGTCAGTCATAATTGCGAAATCCAAAAGATTTAAAAAGCGTACCTTCGTGTAGAGGCGGAAGTCGGGCCTGGCGGAGAGGCGGAGTGCCACCTTGTCGGAATGGGAGAGATACGATAAATGCCGGCGGCAGATCGGTAAATAGGAAGAAGCTGAGATGTTGGGAATCTCCTTCACCGAAGATGCAGCCGCAGCTCCAAACGATGCCGCCATTGATCAGGACTCAGAGCTGTAAGCACTCACGGAAATTAGTGTGTGATTGTGAAAAATTGGAGCAAATGTGCTTAAACTGCGTGTGAGTGTGTGGGAAATATAGCAGCGGCGATGAAAACAAGGAAATTGAGGGTGTTGAGGTTAAACGACGCCGTTTTAATCTGACTGGAAGTAAGTTTAACAGGTGCTTTGCTGTCCGATGTGGATTTTTGTTATTGTGTACTTTGTGCTGTATGGGAAGTACTTCCGCGCTACTGTTGGTTTGACGGGGTGTGGGCCGCGTGGCAGGCAGTTACGTTTCACCGACACGTGACGGTTAAAAGGTTTATTCAACTCTCACCTAAATTTGTTGCCTCGTAGTTATTTTCTGTTCCTCTTAANGTAGGGTTGTAAACGAATCGAATCAAAGCGAATACTCAGAGATTCGATTCGGATTCGTTAAAATATTCGAAGATTCGAATTCGTATTCGATTCGTTAACGAACTCATTTTTTGATTCGTATTCGATTCGTTTAGAATATTCGAACATATTCTATTCGATTCGAAATTCGTTTTCAAAAAAATATTATAATTAAAAAATATTGAAATTACAAAAAATAATTTTATTTTTCATATATTTTTAGGAAAATTTGTTAATTTAGGATGTTTTTACTTTTTATATCATAAAAATATTAGGAATATAACAATACATATATATTATAAACAAAATGTATACTATATATAATTTATAAATTTATAAAATTTATATAATTATTGTTAACGAATCGAATATTCGAATTTCAAATCGAATATCTACAAATTCGAATTCGGATTCGTTTAACTTTCGAATATAAAACATTATTCGTATTCGAATCACGAATATCGACTCGAATAAAAAAAATTTGATTTGTTTACAAGCCTAGTTGCAACCAGTGAACCACAAAGATGAGAAACAAGAGATTTCTTCTACCCGGCCGCTCCCCTAACTTCAATCTTTCAGTGCACAATGATTTCTTGTTAATAACAAAACATTACCTTAATAGCAACTACCTATATAATCATTATTATAATAATTAACAAAATCATATAAGATGCATCCTAGTTATTCTTTTAGAGATAAACTGATACTATATGATTGCATGCTCTATTACATCAAAATTACAATTGGAAATCTTTTTGTTTATCATGTCCTGGTTGATACAGGAAGTGATATAGTGTAATTAAAACTGTGACAATTTGCCCCACCAAAAGTGATCTTCATGTATGTATCATCTTATATCCTTTATTTTTGGTTTTGACCCTCGTACCAAATTAATGGGAAATATTGGTTTGTTTCTNCGATAACACTTCAATTAAACTCACAGAGAGTGCAATAGGAATAATCCACTGATTACATATTTCCATAGCAAGCCAACTAGCTAACATGAAAACCCGGGTAATGAACAAACTCATACCCTCAAATGAAGCTAAAAAATCTAACAACACATCATACAACATTGACAAAATAACAAGAAGAGAAAAAAGAGGAATACTCAAGGATATCTTCTGCTATGGTTTGTAAACCTTCCATGAACTTTGATTTGTTATGCAGCACCTTCGCAATATTCTTTTCATTTACCAAGCAGACAACATCTCTTAAACATTCCTCTGCAGCTTTTTCCATAATCCATCTTATGCATCTAAGTTCTGATTCCATAGGATCCTTGCATAAAGTCATGGATGAATTCCACTCCTTCTGTATCTGATCTCCTAACTTGGCCCACCCCCTTCAACTCCAGTTGTTCAACAGATGAGGAAGAGGCACTGACAGATAGAAATATCTGCCCTACCTTCCTGGAAAACTCCCCATCCATTTCCCTTCTGGTTTTTTCATTCCTCAAATTATGATGGGCCTTGTTAGAGCATATGTCAGAATATTCCAGCCACTCACCTAATGCCTTCTAAACTACATCCTTCTCAGCCATCCACAAAGCCTCAAACACCCAAGCATTTCGAGTTTTTCAAAGCCACCAAAGAAGGTAAGCTGACAAACTTATCCTATCTTTAATAGCTTTGAAATTCTGAGAAGTTAATAACTCACCCCACCAATCCTGAAACTTACAATTCCCATCCTCAATCCTCTGCCACTGAATACCAAGAATTTTCCAGCAAATTATGGCATATCTGCAATTGAAGAAAATATGGTCTATGTCCTCATTCTGTTCTCCACACCTTTTGCAAATTAGATCCATCTCCATGCCCCTCTTCTGCAAGTTCCCTTTGGTGCTTAGAGCATTTTTCCAACTTCTCCAAAGAAAAGTTTTCAGCTTATGGACAACAGGTAATTTCCATGATCTTGCCCACATTGTTTGTTCATTCTTACCTCTCCTGCTAGATTCTGTAGTCTGCTTCTTGAATTGCCCATATTTGATAAGAGTTTCATATGCTGATTTCACTGAAAACTGTCCTTTGGTATTGGGTTGCCACATTAATCTGCCTTTATTGCCACAGTGACTAATAGGGATGGACATGATGATACCTGCAACCAAAGGGCTGAAAGTTTGCTTAATAATCTCAGAATCCCACTCTCTGCCATTATCCCTAATCAAATCACTCACCCAAACCAACCTATCTCTATTCCCTTGAAAAATACACTTAGGTTTGGAACAGGGCCCTTTGGGAAGCCAAGGGTCATCCCATATTCTAATAGACCTACCATCTCCCACCCTCAACCTAATAAACTTCCCCATCATTTCCCTCACCCCCAGCCAGCTCTTCCAGAGCCAAGAATCCCGACTCTTTTTCTTTGCATCCCAGAATCCCTCCCGCCAAAAATATTTACCTTTGAGAATTCTACTCATCAAAAGGTTTGGATGAGTAAGAACTCTCCAAATTTGTTTCATGATCAAAGCTTGGTTAAAGGTTCTCAGATCTCTGAATCCTAACCCCCCTGCTCTTTAGGTTTGGCCAATTTCCCCCACTCAACCCAATGAATTTTGCTTTTTCCCTCTTCATTCCTACCCCACCAAAAGTTGGCCATATCACTGTTCATATCATGACAAATAGAACTAGGCAGCATAAAACAGGACATGACAAAGGTGGGAAGAGCTCTCAAAACAGTCTTGATTAAGACATCTTTGCCAGCCTCACTCAATAGATTATTTTTCCAATTGGACACTATTTTTTTAACACTCTCCAAAACAAAAGAAAAGGTTTCTTTTTTAGATCTTCCAATGCCAAGGGGAACACCCAAATATCTAGTAGTTTTAACACAAGAGATTCCATTCAAAATTCTACAGATCATAAGTCTGGTTCCATTAGAAGTATTCTTAGAGAAGAAAATGGAAGATTTCAATAAATTGACAGCTTGACCAGAAAAACTACCATATTCTGCAAGGATATCAAGGATAATCTGAGCATGCTTCACATCAGCTTGGCAAAACAAAAGAGAATCATCAGCAAAAAAGAGATGGGAAACTGAGGGGGAATTCCTACTAATTTTAATGCCCTTGTAGGATTGGATCAGACAAGCTTGACTTAACAAATTAGAGAATGCTTCAGAGAGAAGAATAAACAAATAGGGGGATAAAGGATCCCGTTGCCTAATACCTCTAGATGGTTTAACATACCCCATTGGCTGTCCACCCATATTGAAAGAAAAAGAGGTAGTGCTGATACATTCCATAATCCAGTTAACAAACCTCTCACAGAACCCAAGTTTCCTACAAATCCTAATCAGAAAACCCCACTCAACCCAATCATAGGCTTTTGCCATATCTAATTTAACAGCCATGAATGAGTTTTTGCCTTTTCTTTTACTGTTCAAAAAATGGACACACTCATTAACAATGACCACATTGTCCAAAATTTGTCTCTCAGGAATGAAGGCAGATTGAGAAACAGAAACACAAATGTGCAAGACAGACTTTAACCTATTAGCAATCATCTTAGCTATGACCTTATAGATGACTGTACACAAGCTTATGGGTCTATAATCAGAAACTCTAACAGGATTATCAATTTTAGGGATCAGGGTGATGACAGAGTGGTTTATACCCTTAGGCATTTTACCATTATCAAAAAAGTTGCAAATAGCAGAACAGAAATGATCCTTAATGGTGTGCCATGAGGTTTGGAAAAAACTTGCTATCATCCCATCCACACCCGGGGCATTCTGACTGTCCATATCCATGAGAGCCTCATAAATCTCCTTAGTATTGACTCTCCTGCTCAGCATATCATTCATTTGCTCAGTAATGACTCTATTCATTCCCTCCGAACTGCAGATCATCACATCAGGGTTAGCAGACATAAACAAGTTCTCAAAATAAAATATCACTTCCTGTAGAGATTCTTGAATATTACTGCATCTACCCCCATCAGCTTTGATCAAATTTTCCAAGTTATTTCTAACTCTTCTTTGCTTCACACTAGCTTGAAAAAATTTGGTATTTTGATCCCCATTTTGCAGCCACATGACTCTATCTTTCTGACTCCAGAACAATTCTTCCTCTTTGTAGGCTATATTCAACAACTCCCTACACCTATTCCATTCAGCCCAATCCCTATCTCCCCCCTGTTGTCCTAGAACTTCCAATTTACCCTTATATTCCTCAATAGCCTTAGATGCATTGGTGCCCACAGAAGATTTCCAATTGAATAGAGCCATTCTAACATTCCTGACCCTTTCTTGTAAATTGAATAGTGGGTGACCTGAGACCTGGATATTCCAGGCTCTGTTAATATCCTCCTCACACCCTGCTTTCTTAATCCACCTACTATCAAAAATAAACCTGGGCTTTCTGACCTCAGCTGTACAACCTTTATACAAAATGAGCATACTATGGTCAGAAGAAGACATGGTAATGTGCTTAAGTAAGGAATTAGGAAATTTGACCAACCAATCAGGGGAAAAGAACACCCTGTCCAATTTCTCCTCAACAAAATCACTACCCTGTCTATTATTACCCCAAGTAAACCAATGACCTCTAATCTTAGTCTCAGCCATACCCATATTAGCCACAAAATTCCTAAAATGACTGAAACTAGACTCCTCTCTCATCCTCCCCCCATTTTTATCCCTATTAGACAAAATATCATTAAAGTCACCTCCTAAAAACCACATTCTACCCCAACTTAAGCTATGTCTAAGAAGAGTAGCCCATTGAGATATTCTGATGTCAGTATCAATGCTTGCATATATGAAAATTGCCCACATGGGTTCCAAATGTCCTTTACACAAAAACTTAACCTCT